TCTTAACTTGGATACGTCGCCGTCTTGTTTTATTACAGCGTGGTGCGGTATAAAATATCGACCGGGCTGAGTTGCGCGCTTCATGTGTCCAAGCAATAGATATTCGTGCATAAATGAACGATAAGCGTCATACAGCTTAGAGNGCGATAGATATTCGTGCATAAACGAACGATAAGCGTCATACAGCTTCGAATCTTTGATAAGACGACGTTCTAAATTTAATAATCGTTTAAGAGCAATTGACCGCGAATCACCAAGCCCAAATGTATAAGAAACATTAGTGGTGTGTGAAATGTCATCATCACTGTGCATAAGTACTTGTTGACGAAATGGTAAGGCAACGCAAAATCTCCCCGAGGTTTCGCGTGTAGTCGTTTTAGCAAACCAACGTTCACATTGTTCATTTTCAGTAGTCGGGTGTTCTGGCGCGACGGGTTCTTCAACGGACCATAATTTTTGCATAAGAGAATCAATAGATGGTGACGAGCATACGGACAGCGAAACTAGCGATGTCTGTTGTGGCTGACTGACTGTACCTACAATAATCCACCCGAGCAGAGTATCCAATGCAGACGGAAAACCAAGAGTATGAATAACGTCACCTTGAGAACGTACTATTTGAGGAAATATATCACCACCTAATAAAATGTCTATATGTGACGGTGTATCAAATGACGGGTCAGCCAATTGTAAGTGCCGGTATTGTTCACGTACCACGGGTGGTAATACAATAGACGGCATAGGCGATGTAATAGTCGAAATTATTATCATGTCGCGACAAACAAACAATGGGCCGGTATTGAAATGCGGACTAAATCGACAATCAGTCATACCTTCGACCTTAGCNATCGACAATCAATCATACCTTCGACCTTAGCGACTGACTCTTGAGATAAGCCGACTATATTTGTTGCACATTTTCGTTGTGTTAAACTGAGCCGTGAAAAACATTCGGTCGTAATAGCGGACACTTGTGAACCACTATCGAGTAATACGCGTACGACGTGAATTTGCCCGAAACGGTCACTTACGCGAACGCGAGCGGTGCCTAGTACGACAGTTGTATTGGTACGCGCTGTACCTGCGAATTTTGTATTAGTGTTAGATGTAGATGGTGTGTCCGATGAAGTTTCACTTGATTGTACAGGAGACGTTATTGAGTCATTATTGGCTTGATTAAAATGTAGCATTGTGTGGTGACGCTTTCCACAAATATGACACGATGACTTAGACTGGCACGCATTTAACATATGAGATGATCCAAGGCACGAGAAACATAATTTTTTTTGCAATA